GCTATATTTTATCTATCCACTGAAGTGTTCAGAACATTATCAATTTATCATAATTCTGGGTATCCATGCTCCAAATATGGATAAAAACGGCTTTTTTTTTTTTTTTGCTAGTGCTCAGGATAAGTTTTTTTTTTTTTTTTTTTTTTTTTACGCCCACCCCAGGATAAGTTTTTACAGCACCAGTCAGCACCAATGTTCAGAACAGGTGATTTTCTTTGGCCTTTAGAGTGGTTAGTTATTACTAGTTTGCCTTTTCTTACCTTGTGTTTTTATGTCCTATCCTCTAAGCCCCATGAAACACAGACTCACTCAGTTTTGTAAATGCCCTCTAGGGAAAAACCAGCTTCAGTGTTTCACCCATTTCTTTTGGTATCAACCTTAATTTAGTATTCGTCCTGTTTATTTGTCTATTGTCAGCAACCTGATGTGTATAAGATGTCCTTTTTATAATACCCAAATCATGGTTGCTTTTAGAGGCTCCATCTTACTACTTAATTCACCAGATTACAAGAAAATGTTAACTCTGTGCACTTTTTCATTGTGCTCTTGTGGCAATTTTTAAAATAGACCCACATTATTTTTAGAGTCCTCCCACTGAAAGATAGGGTCTATATACCCTCTTCTTGAACCTGGGCCCTTTGATTGTTTGAACACTGGAATAAACTGCACGTGCTAACTTCCAGGCCCGAGTCTTGTAAAAATGGCAGCATGCATTTCTCATCTTTTGGGACGTTTGCTCTTTCAAATTACCTTATATGTGCAACAATTTACTTTGTGTAACTGGCCTACTAGTTGACTTACTGGTCAATAATCTCAGTCACTGAGCCCAGCAACATAAAGTCATGGTCTCAACAATTATTCTACATATATTGCATAACCCATCAGTGCAGTAAATATGTACCAAAGAAGTCATAACATTTGCAAAGAAAAGACACAGATACTTTTAAGAGTGTAATTAATTACTTCATTCATATTTAATATAAGCAATGGGGCTAAAAATATATTGAGCATCAAATAATAATATAAAACATAATAAACAGGTTGGTATTTTTAAAGCATATATTATTTGTGAAAGAAGTCTTTTGAAAGACATAAAGTGAAGGATCACTTGATATGAAATAAATATAAAAGGCAAATAATACTTGTCTAAAGCAGTGATTCTTACTGTGGTGATTAGAATCTTATAGGGGTTTTTAAAAAATACAAATAACCAAATCCCATTAATACCCAAGAAGGGAAGATTTTGATGAACTGGTTAAAGCAGTGGTTCTCAAAGATGGTTGAATATTATAACTATTTACGGACACTTAATACAAATTTTCAGTATGTATTTCAGGCCAATTAAATCAGAATCTGGGTGTGGGACTCAGGCTGCACCAGTACTTTTTAAAAGATCCCCAGCTTTTCCATTTTTATCCAAAGTTGAAAGCTCTCATCTAAAATATCTGACTGACTGCATATATTATTGTAATACAAGAAAAATACTTTTAAAATTAAAAGTTCTATATACTTAACTGTATTTGTATTTCCATTATCAATAAAGTCAAAATTAATATAAAATTTGAAAAAACAAATTATCCTAGAATGAAAAACTCGGTGATATATAGAAAATTTGAAATGAAATGGTGTATTTAACTTGGAAAAATTAAGAAAGCTTGTTCAATCTAGAAAGTGAACTACTCAATTCAGCCTAAAGTCAGAACCTAACATGAATTAAATACTACAAAAATGTGTCTTCTCTCTCAAGTAAATGAGCAAAATGTAGAATGCATTCCACTTATTTATTAAAAAAAAGTGTAAATCATCTTTATATTTTAGTCATTAATTTAAACGTTTGAGACATAGTAGTGAAAGAAATTAAAGAAGACCCCAACCCTCCTCACATAATCAAATGGGGAGATAAAAAATAAAGAAAAATCTCATGCAAATATCTGTGTAATGACAAACTGTGAAAGGGGCTGTGAAGGAAAGATTCGTGGATCTATAACACATCTTACAGAAGAATTTGGCAAAAGTAACATTATGTTCATTATGCTAGCTTTAAGGCCCAAGGTTTAAGGAAGTGGAAGCTTCTACTCCCTGTCTATCCAGACCCTCACTCTTGAATTTCAGCTATCTTGATGTAAGGAAGCCAAAGCAGCAGTGAAGAGACATACATGGGGAAGAACCAATACCTCTAGGCCATACCTAACAGCAAATGCCCACTTGTCAGCCATGCGCATGAGCAATCTTGAAAAGTCAATCATAGAGCCCCGCCTCACTTCCTCCAATGTGGGGATCAAGAAGGGCTTCTCAGAAAGTTTGTCTCTAAAGGGGGAGCAAAAGGTATAGCGTGTACAGAGACCTCTGGAAGAAAGCGTGCTTACAGTTAGGGCCTATCTGCAAGCCAGCATGTTTTAATTGGGCAATTAACTGGATTATATGCATAACTGATGAATATTACTCAATATATGTTTTAAGTTAGAAAATAACGGAAACACAAATATGCTTTATATCAAACATCACTATCAACAGAACACACAATGGTATCAAAGAAAAAAGCAATATTTACTTTAAAATGTGACTAATGGTAGATAAAGATGAGTTAAAAGATATTTTTTAAATCTACTCTTTAATTTTCATATCTAGCCTTTTCACTAGAATATTATTCTATATTTTTAAACCACAAATAATGGCTATTTTGAACCAGCAGAAGTATATAACACCTATAAACTTGATTTTTTTCTGCTATTATTTTGAATTATAAGGAGATGGAGAAGTCTTATCAACTTCTATGAAATACTCATATTGAGTTGAGCTTTGCAAGTTCAAATAGTCCTACTTAAAAATTGAGTTTTAACTCACTGCTTACAAGTTGTACGCTCACTGTTCTAAGCATATCCTTGCATATTGTGAAGTAAAGGGGAAGTGGAAAATAAGTGAGGCATCATCACCTTATTCAGCTCTTTGTCTGCAATTTAGAAACAAATATATGTTTAAATGTCTTCCTGTCCATGTATTGTCCTCTTTCTAAGCACTTGCCAAGATGTTACTAAAACTAGTGATACAGTATTAAGACTCAGTGCAAATCCTCACATGATGGATTAAAGCACAGAAGTAGTCAGACCTTATGATTTCAGACAGCTTCTGCAGCTGTTTCTCTTTGATACACCAATGAGATGAATTGAGCATGCATTTTTATCGTTTTCAACAGTGCTCAAATACATCCATGACATATCAGCTCTTTCTAGAAAGCCCAAGCACTCTCCTAGGCTCACTGAGGTCTTCCATACTGGTAAAAAAATATTATAATTTCCTGAGTTAAGTACTCAGCTACACAATAGTTCATGCTTCCCCCCTTTTTTAATGTGCCCCATTGGGTATTAATAGTGTTCAGATTTATTTTCCATAATTTAGAGCTTGGCTTATAAAATATTAAAATGCTTATTAATGTTTGGAAAAGTGGCAGAGGCACTAATATGTGTTGCAAGCAGCACATGGCCGTACTTCAGCCACATACTAATCAGCCACACATATAATATACCTTGATTAAATTTTGTCTTTATTGTTCAGAAGGCAAATGGAAAAGAGGACATAGAAACACATTTAAAGATGCTTAGGACAAGCCAGTGTTTATCTGAAACTTTAATCATTACCCCAAACTGGTCAAATGATACTTATGAATGCATATTACATACAACAATTTTAAAAGGTTTCTTATCTTCGCATACATAAAAAGAAAACAGTGGCTCCCATACCTTACTAAAAAAAAAACAAAATAAAAAACATATGCTTTCAAATTATGAATCTTCTGTGTTTCTCAGTCATCATTATCAGATACACTTTTTTCTCCCCAAGAATGATAATGAGTTCAACTTGTTTCATTCACCCTTTTTGACTGATACCTATAAGTTGCATTTGCAAAATACTTAAAAAGATTATAGATATATTGTCTGCCCACAGGGTAGTATGGCACATCTACAGTGCTATGTTCAGAGGGTCCCACTAATCAAAAGCTAAAATTATTTTGCAAAATCATACACATAGTATGTAATATCTATATTTCTAAAAATAGAATACACTAGTAACACCGTCTTTTACATTTTGATGCCAATCACCAATGTAATAGTCAACATTAAGCAAAATGAAGAATAAATTAAACCAGTCTAAAGAATTATTTTGTTTTGTTAATTTTAGGAGGATAAATTTATAAAAACATGCTTTAAAGGGCTTTTGCAAATAAAAGTGCTTTTGACCTATTTGCTACTTAATGATCTACGCTGGAATAGAAGATAAACAGAGTGAGAAATTCAGCATAAGGCAAAATAAATTCCCCATTACTGGAATTTTTTGGAGCATACTGCTAATGCTCTAATTTCTTCCACAACCTCAATTAATAAATTAATCACAAATAAGCACATCTCTCCCATATATTCAAGTGGCTAAGGTCAATTTTGCATTTCTCCTCTGGCCAACCCACTTGCTTCCACTGTGAGAGTATATCCTGCCTCTTATTACTAGTAAGGGACACTGGAAAACTGTTTCACCTTTATGAAGCTTAATTTTTCAGTCTTTCAGGTAGAAATAATAGCACCTACCTCAAAGGATACAATTAAATGAGACTGTTTAAAAAAATCACAAATTACAATGTAATTCTTTTAAGAAGTATTAGCTTTTATTGGATGGTTACCCTAACTCCCCCAATTTCATATGTTAAAACCCTAATCCCCAGTGTGATGGCATCTGAAGAAAGGGCCTTGGTAAGGAATTAAGTATTGAAGGTGGAATCCTTCTGATGGGGTTAACGCCCTGACAAGAGAGACACAAGAAAAAAGCTTGCTTCCTCTCTGTTTTCTACCATGTGAGGACACAATTAGAAGAGAGCCAGCTGCAAAACAGAGGGTAGGCATCACCAGGCACTCTACTGGCACCTTCACTTTCAACTTCCAGGCCTCCAGAACTATAAGAAATAAATATTTGTTGTTTAAGCCACCTGTCCAAGAGATTTTGTTATGGAAGACCAAACTAAGATATATAAAAAGCAATAATTTCTGATAATTACATTTAATATTTTCATTAATCTGAAATTTTGTTGTAAGAATTACAAAGGGCAGAATAGAAATTAAGGCATTACAAATATCAATTAGATAATTTGCTATATCTCCTAAATCACAATGCTACATATATGAAGACTTTCTGTGTTGATGCTTCTTTTCATTAGGGAATGTATTTATATTTCAGATGGATTTTGTTTGCTTTTAACTGGAGTCCACAGATTAAGTTCAATATTCTTGAGAAGTACTTTGTAAGGAAATTGTGTATTTATTTTTTTAGCACAGGGTCTCGATGGGTCGCTCAGTTTAAAGTGCAGTGGCGCAATCATGGCTCATTGCAGCCTCAACCTCCTGGGCGCAGGTGATTCTCCCAATTCAAACTCTCAAGTAGCTGCAACCACAGGCACATGCCACCACACCTGGCTAATAATAATAATAATAACACCTTGTAGAGACAGAATTTCATTATGTTGCCCAGGCTGGTCTCAAACTCCTGGGCTCAAGCTATCCTTCCACCTTGGCCTGCCAAAGCGGTGAGATTACAAGCATGGGCCACCACACCTGCTTGAAAGGAAATTATAATGTGATTTTCACTCAGAGAAGATTGACAAGCCATCTTTGATCACAAATATATGTGTATATATCATCACCTTTCATATATATGGCCATATATATTTATATGTGTGTATATACATACACATATGTGTATTAGGTTAATAAATATATTTTGTATATATATCTTTTTTTGTATACATACACACACACACACACACACACACACACACACACACATCTTCTGATCTTAACTGAGCAAGATTGGAGTTTCAAATGAATGCACACAAGCACGCAAGGTATTCCAATTACCACAAATAGTTGGGTAACTAGTTGCAAGTGCACTGGCAGGAATTATTAAGAGGAAGTGATCTTCCATGAAAGGAGTATCCTGACTGATGTCTGTGCATTGGCTGGCACTATTGTTGATGAACCATCAGAATATGAATTATGGAATAACTCAAGAGACTCAGAAATTCCTGTTTACTCTTTGAGAATGAGAATTAAATTTTTATTGATATGAAATCTACTGTGAATAATAGATATATTATGAAACATTGGCCCAGAAGGATTAATATGCACTACATTTTTGTTGTTTATCTACTGTTTTATCTTAAGCCCTGAGGCTTTCATTGAGACCAAAGTTAAACAAAATCAAGAGATAGAAAATGTCTCCTTCTCTCTTCCACTCACCCCACACACCCTACTTCTGTCTCCCCCTGCCCCCACCAAATAGATTAGAGAAGCACCATCCCTACTGTACATAAGTAAGTTAAAACAAGATGATGGAATTTTTAAATTATTAAATAAGATACATAAATATATTTTGTTCACTTTATATTTACTAAGAAGATATTTTGCAAGTATATGACTGAATACTAAATTTATCATCAGAAATATCTGCTAAAGGACCTTGTTATTTTCTATGCAGTATATACTATATGTATAACATTTCTCTTTAAGTTTACATATAAAAATATATAACTTTATAATACCAGCCATTCTGAATTTGCTCTTATTTACATAATTTCCCTCCATATTGTGATAAATTTTAAAGCATTTACTATTATTGAAGCTTTTATTAATATTCAGCAATATTTATTAACCTTTGAGAAGTCACTGACCTCATTTAAGAAGGTAATGAAAGCCATTCCAAGAAAAATGCACACAAACACAAGCACACAGACTTTCCTACAATGCCAAGAAGCTCATACATATGCTGCAGCTCCTCCACAGACCAGGCTGATTAGACTTAAGAAATCCTGACCAAAAGCTATTTCACCCTGAGGCTACATAGCCTTCATGCTTTTGAAAGTCGACAAGGCTTTAAATCAAAGGATATGGGTTCCTACCCAAATTCCGCTCCTCAATTAACTTTAATATTCTCATTTATAAAATGCGAAGTGGCCTCTTTGGTCTCTTCCTACCTAAAATTCTCTGGGTATAGGCAAAGAATAAGCTCCTTTAAGAAGAAAAATAGCTCTATTTGAAAATTACAAAAATAAAATCATATATAATATGAGCCATGTTTTTTTTTCTATAGTTTATTAATATAAGAAACCTTGAAAAAATATATATATGCTATCTAAATGTTGTTAACAAACATGACTTTATAGCTTTTGAAAAGTACATTGGGTCTTAAGGGCCATATTTACAAATGATTACATGAACCATGCTTGCATATTAATTTGTTTTCTTTTTCAGGAGTGTTTTAAGGATATTAAATAATTAATTAATTGAGTAGAAGTATATGGCTGAATTAAATATTGAGACAATACATTCATTTTTACAACTGATACTATCCTTTGAAAATAAGTGTTAATATTTGAAAGGAACTGCCATTGACTATTGATACCGACCCAGCTTTCACACTAACAAAGGAATTACATATAATGTCATCAACAAATCTGATAGTCTTTGGTTGTCTTAGCTTAATTTTAAACTTGAAAAGTAAGGAGTGAGCATACTTGCTTTTGAGGATGTCTTAATACTCATATCTTCCACTGACTTCAAATGTAATATTCTGAGCACAGGAAGTAGATCATAATGTGATAGAATCTAATTCTTTCTCCCCAGAAACTGAAGGAAATTTCCAGAAATAAAGAAAATAAGAGAGAATGTATTTCACTTGCAAAAATGTTAAGGAATTTCTGTGAGATACAGGACACAAGAGACCAGAATGAAGGAAGGACTCATTCAAAACTCTCATCCTGTGAGAGAGTATCTTTGCTGGAAATAAGTGAAAGGCACCGTCCCAGAATGTGGAATGTGAAACCTAAAAGTCATAGCAGGCAAAGTGGGCAGTGAGCTTATGGGAGGAGCACATCAATCCCACAGTCACTGTATAAAATATCCTTGAATCAAGATTTTATGACAGCATTTTTTTCTACATTACACATGACATAAAGATAGTTTTGTCAGTCAGCGAAGTTTTGTCAGTCACCATCATTTTCAAATTTCAGCAATCGTGACAAGCAACAATTAGAAATACATTAGCTATCTGTATCAACTGCCACTTTAATTAAATTCTGGACCACATCTCTCTCCATTTCACCAAGTAGTTAAGTTTCTAAAATATTATCATGAAAGTAACACAATTCTAAATTTTACACTGTCTGTGCTTCTTGGCCTATTGGATATAGATTGATATCCACAAGATTCTGAGGAATAGCTTTCAACTCAAATTTCCTTTCAATCAAATCTGAGAATGTATAAATGTTCAGATCCTTTCCTTTAAGGACATAGAAATGGAAACAAGTCACCATACTTACAAAAGATAAGCACTGTGGTTCTGTATAGGACCTGTTTGAAAATTCTGTCTCTCTGAAATAAATGGTAAAAAAGAAGAGAAGGGAGAAATATGTAGAAAATTTCTAGTGTTTTCAAAAATAGTCAAAGCAGCATTGCATCTGAGAAATTAGGCCAGCAATTATGAAGAGAAAATAAATTGAGATCATTAAAGAGAGTATAAATATGATGAAATGATCAACTAACTTAAAAAATTTATGAGAGACAATAGCAAAACGTTGAATAATCAACAAAATTAAATTAGCCAAATAAAGCACAAATATATTCTAAAAATTCAAAAGAAAATGATAAAGAGAATAAAATAATAAGAAAAATTTAAAACGGAGAGCAGATTCAATCTACTTGTAAACAAGAATCACAAAAAAGGGAAAGCAGATTTTTGAAAGTTGGTGAGCCTGGGTGTTTAAACCCATGATCCTGTACCAGGAATCAAAGCTGTGGTGTAGAACAAATATTATGGACCCTGAGATCCTTCACAAATGAGAACCATTTCAGTGGAACTGAAGTCTGCATCTTACATTAGTTACAGGAAAGTGAGAGAGAATCCAGACTTTCAAGACAATGGGAGTAGACACATGCACACACAAATATGTGTGTGTTATATATCTGAAATAAAATATTATAGGACTGAAAGCGAACATATTGATCATTCCAATATATGTAATTGGACATAATACACCTATTAGAAGAATAAGCAAGTTGTTCATATAAACTAACAAAGCAAAATCTAATTATATACCTCATAAGACAGAAAGATAGCTAGAGATATAATAAATGCAAATAAAGAGAAAGCAAGAGTCAAAATCTTTTTATCCAACACAATAAAACTTAGAAATAAAGAAATGTTAAAAATGACAAAGGATACTTTATAAAACTAAGACAATTCACCATGAAAACACAATAATTATTACTATTTTTGAATCCAATGAAAGCAACAACTTTCATAGAGCAGAAACTTTAGTCTTACTGGAACTAAATATTAAAAAACAAATGATAAACACCACCGTTCTCTCACTTGAAGATGGAAAAAGTGGGCAGGATACTTAGAGGAGTAGAGAAAACCTAAGCAACACCATCAGTGAAATAGGTCTCATAGATTTATATCCAGTTATTTCCTCAACTGTAGTAATGCATAGTTTCTAAAAACCCTAATTTACAAAAATTGATTTTAGTAGAGAATAGAAAAGGTTGTAAAAGATCCTCTACACCCCTTGAAAGAGAGAGGAAAAAGTGGGAGACAGAGTTGGTTTTACCAGAATTTTCATGACTAGATAATTCTATTGCTGTTTGAGCTGTTCAAGTAAAAAAAAAAAAATTTAAGTTATTTTTATGAGACAAATATGATGTGACTTTGAACAAAAACATGATCACACAAAAAGGACAGTATTGATCAGTCTGTCCCACAGATATTAGGGCAGAAATCTAAAATATTAGCCAAGTGAATCCAACATCATATTAAAAATTAATATATAAAGATCATGAGGGGTTTATTCCAGAAGTGCAAGAATGGATCAATATTAAGAAAGCCATTAATTTAATCTATCACTGTAATAGATCTAAGAAGAAAAAGCATTATGAATGTCTCTTCAGATCTTATAAGCCACTTGACAACATTCACAATCCTTTCATGTTAAAAGCATTCAATAAAATAGAAAGTTACTTCTTAGCTTTCCTAACACACACACACACACACACACACACACACACACACACACACACACACACCATTATTGCACATTAGGTGAAATAATAGAAGTATTCCTGCTAAAGTAAAACAAAGAAAAGGATTCTTACTATCTTCACTATAATCAAACATTGAACTAAAATAATTGACAAGTGAAAGCAACTAAATTCAAGAATTTTTAAAGGGCCACATAAACTCCTATTTATGGGAAAATTATTATGTATCTATAAATTTTCTATCAAAAATATTAACAGAAAAATTGTTATGGCTGGGCACAGTGGCTCAGGCCTGTAATCCCTGCACTTTGTGAGGCTGAGGCAGGTGGATCGCTTGCAGTCAGGAGTTCGAAACCAGCATGGCCAACATGGTGAAACCCTGTCTCTACTAAAAGTACAAAACAATTAGCTGGGTGTAGTCGTGTGTGCCTTTAATCTTAGCTATTCAGAAGACTGAGGCAAGAGAATCGTTTGAACCCAGGAGGCAGATATTGCAGTGAGCCGAGATCAGGACACTGCACTCCAGCCTGGGTGACAGAGTAAGATTCTGTCTCAAAAAAAGAAAGAAAAATTGTTATAAAAATAGGGAAATTAAGTATAAGAATATAAACCTAGCAGGTAAACAGGTAGCATCCCTATATAAAAACAGTAACTGAATTGAAGTAACTAAAGTAAGAAAAAGAAAAGGATTCCTACTATCCTTTTCTTTATAAAGAAAGAAATTCCACATATAATGGCAAACAAAAATACAGGTACAGAAACTGTAAGTACTGAAATACACACACACAAAAGAGACTTTAATAAGTAGAAACGTTCACCATGTCATAAAGAATAAGCAACATTACAAATATGTCCATTCATTCCAAGATAATCCATAAATTTAATTCAATTCTAATGACATTACCATCAGTTTGTTTTTTTCCTGGAGCCAGAAAAGTAGATTATAAACTTTACATGGAATAACATACTGGGAATTATTGCCAAGTTAATGCTATCACAGACACATGCACAGAAAGAGAGAGAGACAGAGAGAGAGAGAGAGAGAGAGATCGGCTTAAAAGAATACAGTATTCTGTATGATTCACTTACATTAAATTCAAGAATAGTGATAAAAAAAGGAATAGCCAAGAGAGATCCAAGATGGCCGATTACTAGCAGCTCGGGATTGTAGCTCCCAGTGAAAGCACAGAGAACGAGAGGACACCACACTTTCAGATGAATTTTTTTTTGCTGACGGACCAGGAGATTCCCAGCGGAGGAGCCCCACTGGTCGGCAGCACGGCTCTTGTGGCCAGCCGGGCGGTTCCCGGTGAGGAGTGAACGGGTCAGGTTCCCTTATTGGTCGATGTTTGGAGCTCCGGGAAGGCAGAGTCGCCCATTCAGCTGATTGAAAGGGGGACCCAGGAGGGAAGCCAGACCGGAGATTCCAGGGCAGAAAAGCACCAGGAGTCTTGGCACTGCTGTTTTGGCCGGGGCAGTGGGTTGCTTGGATTTCGGCGCTGGGAATCAACAAGTTGGACATCCACTCAGAGACCTAATTTGAAAGTCGGTAATTACGATGACAGGTGGATAGATTTACAATGACGGGAAGAAAACAGCATAAAAAGGCTGAGAATACTCAAAATCAGAATGCTTCTCCCTCCACAGGGGATCACAGTTCCTCATCAACAAGGGAACAAGGTTTGATGGTGAATGAGTGCGTTCCAATAACAGAATTAGGCTTCAGAAATTGGATAATAAGAAACTTCTGTGAATTAAAGGAATATGTTCTAGCCCAATGTAAGGAAACTAAGAACCCTGAAAAAAGGTTTGACGAAATCCTAAAGAGAATGGACAATTTAGAGAGGAACGTAAGTGAATTAATGGAACTGAAGAATACAATAAGAGAACTTTGAGAAGTATGCACAGGTTTTAACACTCGAATTGATCAAGCAGAAGAAAGGATATCAGAGGTTGAAGGCCAACTTAATGAAATGAAATGAGAAGGCAAGATTAGAGAAGAAAAAGTAAAAAGGAATGAGCAAAGTGTACAGGAAATATGGGACTATGTGAAAAGACCTAATTTACGTTTGATAGGTGTACCTGAATGTCATGAAGAGAATGAATCCAACCTGGAAAATATTTTTCAAGATATTATTCAGAAAAACTTTCCTAATCTAGTAAGGCAGGAGAATACTCAACTCCAGGCAATACAGAGAACACCACAAAGATATTCAAGAAAAGCAACCCCAAGACACATAATCGTTAGATTCACCAGGGTTGAAATAAAGGAGAAAATTCTAAGGGCATTTACAGAGAAAGGTCAGGTTACCCATAAAGGGAAATCTATTAGACTCACAGCAGATCTCTCAGCAGAGACCCTACAAGCTAGAAGGGAGTTGGGGTTAATATTCAATATCCTCAAAGAAAAGAATTTTCAACCCAGAATCTCATATCCAGCCAAACTAAGTTTCATAAATAAAGGAAAAATAAAATTTTTCGTGAACAAACAAGCACTCAGAGATTTCATTACCACCAGGCCTGCTTTACAAGAGCTTCTGAAAGAAGCACTACACACAGAAAGGAACAACCAGTATCAGTCATCCCAAAAACTTATCAAAAGATAAAGAGTATCTTTATAATGAAGAATCTATATCAACTGATGGGCAAAATAGCCAGCTGGCATTAAATGACAATATTAAACTCACAAATGTCAATATTAATCCTAAATTTAAATGGATTAAATACCTCAATCAAAGACACAGACACGCAAGTTGAATAAAAAGTCAAAACCCATCGGCATGCTGTGTCCAGATCCATCTCATAAGCAAAGACACACAAAGATTCTAAACAAAAGGTTGGAGGAAGACTCACCAATCAAATGGAGAGAAAAAAAAAAAAAAAAAGCAGTTGTAACTTTCGTCTCTGACAAAATAGACTTTAATAGTAACAAAGACTGAAAGAAACAAAGAAAGACATTACATAATGGTAAAAGGACAAAAGTAACAACAGGACTCAATGATCATAAATATATATGCACCTAACAGAGGAGTACCCAGATACATAAGACAAGCTCTTAATGACTTATAAAGAGACTTAGACTCCCACACAATGGGAGACTTCAACATTAATATTAGACAGATCAACGAGACAGAAAATTAGACAGATCAACGAGACAGAAAATTAACAAGGATATCCAGGACTTGAACCCAGATCTGGAACAAGTAAACTTAATAAACATTTATAGAACGCTCCACTTTAAATACACAAAATACACACTCTTATCAGTACCACATCACACCTACTCACAGGTTTAAATGAAATATTGGTTGGCTGCTTGTTATTTTCTTCTCTCATTTTTTTTATTTTTTTATTTTTTATTTTTTTTTCTTGTTTCCATTATTAAGCATAAACGAGGTTTTTAATACCCATTTTTAGACTGCATTCTACCCCGGGCAATAAAGCAACACTTCCGTTCTCTCTCCCTCTTCCTCTTCCTCTTTCTTCCTCTCCTTCATTTTTTTTATTATTTTTTCTTTTTTCTTTTTCCCTTTCTTTTTTTAAAAAAAATAAAATAAAATAAAAATTGACAATAAGTTTTAATGAAAAAAAAAGGAATAGCCATAACTAATATGGTGAGTCATAATTAATAATTCAAGAATGAAAAGAGAGGAAGGCAAACAGGAAATCTATTAGAGTGATGAGAAATTTTTAAATCTTGTTTTGTATGGTGGTTATATGGGTATAAGCATATGAACAATTTTTAAGGTTTGTGCAAAAGTATATTTTATTTAATAGACTTCATGTGTACAAAAGTTTTAGTTTTACTGAAACACTGAACAAACACTACAGAGAGTTCTTGTACACCCCTTAACCCACACAATTCCTCTTATTATTTGGCATTAGTGAGTATACTTGTTCAATGAATGAACTATTATTAATATATGATTATTAACAAAAGTCTATAATTTACATTGTTTCACCCCCTATGTTGTAGAGTTTTAAGAGTTTTTACAATGCATAATGTCATACATATGCACCATTACAGTATCATACAGAGTACCATATCTATCTTCTATATACCACTGCAGTATCATTTAGAATAATTTCAGTTTCAAAAATCCCCTCTGCTTCACCTATTCATCTCTTCCCTCTGCCCCTTGAATCCCTGGAAACCAATGATCTGTTTAGTGTCTCTATAAATTTTGTCTTTCGCAGAATGTCGTATAGTTGGGCTTCTATTGTATTTAGGTTTTCAGGCTGGCTTCTTTCATTTAGTAGTATGCATTTAAGTTACCTCCATCTCTTTTCATAGCTGATGGCGCTTTTGTAAAATTACTGAATAATGTTCTACTGTATAGATATACTATAGATTGTTAATGCATTGACCTACCAAAGGAGATCTTAGTTACTTCTAGTCTTTGATGGTTATGAATAAAACTGCTAAAAACATTTTTGTGGACATAAGTTTTGAACTCAATTGGGTAAATGATCATGGTAAGACCATGTTTAGTTTTCTAAAAAATGCCAAATTATTTTCCAAAATGCATGTACTAGTTTGCATTCTTACCAGCAATAAATGAGAGTTCTTGTTGCTCTTCATTCTCACCAGGATTTGGTATTGTCCATTTTTGGTTTTATCCACTTTCCTAGGTGTGTAGTGTCATGACATTGTTTTAATTTACAATTCCCTAATGACATGTAATGTAGAGCATATTTTCATATGCTTATTTGCCATCCGTGTATCTTCTTTAGTAATGTGTGTGCTCAGAGAATTTGCCCATTTTTCAGTTGAGTTGTCTTCTTATTTTTGAGTTGCAAGAGTTCTCTGTACATTTTGAATACAAGTCCATTATCAGATATCTTTTGCAAATATTTGCTCGCAGTCTGTGGCATAAATTTTCATTGCCTTAACAATGTCTTTTTAGGACAGAAGATTTTAATTTTACTAAAGTCCCAATTATCAGTTTTTTTCTTTTATGGATCATGCTTTTGGTATTGTCTCTAAAAACTTATTACCCAATTGAAGGTCACTTAGATTTTTTTCCTTTGTTATTTTCTAGAAGTTTTATACTTTTGCATTTTATATTTAGTTATATGATACATTTTTAGTTAACTTTTGTGAAAGGTACAAAGTCTGTGTCTACAGACTTTGTGTATGAGTGCTCAATGGGTCTAGCACTGTGAGTTCAAAACACATTTTTTCTTAATTGCCTTTGCTCTTTCGTAAAAAATCAGTTGGTTGTATTTGCATAGATCTATTTCTAGGCTTCCTGCTCTGTTTCACTGACATATTTCTCGATTATTTAGCCAATTCCACACTGTCTTGGTTACTATAGCTTTATAGTACACCTTGGAGTCAAGAACTGCCAGTCTCTCCCCTTGTTCTTCTTCAGTGTTGGCTATTCTGGGTATTTCTGCCTTTACACCTAAATTTTAGAATAGGTTTGTCAATATGCACAAAATAACTTGCTAAAATTTGGATTAGGATAATATTGAACTTACAGACCAAGCTGGAAACCTGAACATAGAGTATCTTTCCATTTACAAAGAGAATCTTTAATTTCTTTCATTAGAGTTTTTTTCTGTATGAGTGTTCCTCCTACAGACTTTGCGCATATTTTGCTTAAAGTATAACTAATTTTTCCTTTTTTTAATGCTAATAGTAATGATATTGTGTTTTTACCAAATTCCAGTTTTCATCACGGCTGTGTAGAATATTAATTGATTTTGCTATTATTACCTTTTATTTTTCAACTTTGCTATAATCACTCATTAGTTCCAAAAGTCTTTTGTTGCTGATTCTTCTGGATTTTCTACATAGACAGTCATGTCATCTGTGAATGAAAATGGTTTTATTTGTTTTTTCCAAATCTGTTGTGCCTTTTCTTTTACTTTCTTGTTTTACTGCATTAGCTAGGACTTCTAGTACACTGATGAATAGAAATAATTAGCAGGAGCATCCTTGCCTTGTTTCCCCATCTTTTTATCAAGTAAGGAAGTCTCCCTCTATTCCTAGTTTGCTAGGTATTTATTATGATTGAATGTTGGATCATGTCAAATGCTTTTTCTACATGTATCGGTATGATCATGTGATTTTTCTTCTTTAGCCTATTTATATAAATGATGACATTAATTGATTTGTGAATATTGAGCCAGTTTTGTATACCTGAAATAAATATTGTTTGGTCATAGCATTATGTCTTTTTATACAACATTGCATTTAAATTACTAATATTTTGTTGATGATTTTTGCAATTACATCTATGAAAGATATTGATTTCTGTAGTTTTTCTTTCTTGTAATACCTTTATCTGGTTTTGATATTAGGGTTGTACTCATCTTAAATTGAGTTAGAAATTATTCCTTTTGCTTCTATTTTTTAATAAGACACTGTGGAGAATTAACATTTCTTCCATAAATGTTTGGTAGAATTCATCAGTAAAACCATCTATGCCTGATGTTTTCTTTTATGGAAAATGTAATGGTTATGTGTTAACTTGACTGGTCCACAGGAAGCCCAGGCATTAGCCAAATATTTTAAGTGTGCCTGTGATGGTGTTTTGAACGATATTAACATTTGAATTAGTAGAATGGGTGTAGATTGCCTTCCACAATGTGGATGGTCCTCATACAATAAGTGGAAGCCTGAGTAGAATGAAAGGCTGACCTTCCCATCAATAAGAAAGGAA